AGGATGGATTGTCTGAGGCCTTGCAGGATGAACTGGCGAGGGTGGACAGGCCACCGATGTTCGACGTGTTGGTCCACTTGTGCCTCCAGATAGATGCCCGGCTACAGAGGAGAAGGCCTCGCTGTGCATTCCAGGAGACCACCAGCATGCCAGTTCAGCAAGAGACTGCAGTGGACTGGGAGGATCCCATGGAGTTGGGTGCTGTCAGACCTCGAGTGTCACGTACTGAGATGGACAGACGATGTGCTGAGGGATTGTGCTTCTACTGTGGGGATCTTGGACACCTGGCTGGGAGTTGCCCCAAGAAGAACAGAAGGGTTGCACGGACTGCAGCCATCCCTCAGCAACGCACTATCATGTCGGACAACCAGCATGTTTGTGCGGCCGTGATACCCCTTTTGCACAAGGTAGCGTGTGTTTGGGGGGGGTGGAGTCCCAGGGCGGATGCCCTGCCGAGTAAAGTAGAGAACTCTGACCCTGCAAACTCACTTCCACCTCGGACTGTTCTACCTGTTGCATTCTGCGCTGCCATTTGTCATCCCGTGAGCAAGCAGTCTCTGAAGCGGGATGCGCAGCGGGGTGACGACTGGGTGGAGCGACGAAAGATGGAAGTGGGACCGGCGTCCCCATGGACTTTGGGAAGGGGATCGTTTGAAGTGTCGGGACTGGCTCTATGTTCCCGCAGGGCACATCCGTCGACGGGTGCTCTAGCAGATTCATTGCGCGTCTGCATCAAGACATTGGGGTTTTTTTCGGATGTTGCGCCTGGCCTCCCGTCAATTTTGGTGGCCCCATCTGAAAAATGACGTGCGGAGGTGCGTGGAGTCATGTGCCCAATGCCAACGGGCCAGGTCTGCAAGGAGAACTCCACCAAGATTCCAGCCTTTATCGACTCCGGTCCCCGCAGCATTGGACTTTGTTTCGAGGTTCCCGGCGGGGTACCAGTGTCTTGGACCATGTTCGGTGGAGGCTGTCACCAACCCTTCTGGGCCGCACCCCGATGGTCGGAACCGGGGGAAGGGCTCTGCGGCTCGACGAGTCGGGGAAGCTGCCGCCGGACTCCGACGGCGATGGGTCATGTGGGTTGGCCTTAGACGAGGTGGAGGACCCTGGACAGGGTGTTAGGGCTCAGCCGGAGCTGTTGGAGCGCCCGCCAGCCTCCGACAGTAAGGGGGCTGGTGGGTCGGCCTTGCAGAGGGTGGAGGACCCTGGACAGGGTGTTAAGGCTCGGCCGAAGCTGGTGGAGCTGCCATCAACCTCCGACGGTAGGGGGGCTGGTGGGTCGGCCTTGCAGAGGGTGGAGGATCCTTGATGGGGTGTTGACGCCGTGAAGGGCGGAAGGAAACATGGTGGCCACCGGATACCTAAGAAGTTCTGATTCAAGGGGGCTATTCCTGCAGAGGTTTGGGACTCATGAAAAAGGCACCACAGGAAATGGGTGCGGGTCATCTTGTGGACAAGTCATTCCGACCGCATCCATTGGAACCCGGGGAAAGGGCCCTGCAGTAGGGGATAGTGTTGTGACTCAGCAGACATCTTCTGTGAGTCTTTTCGGGATGCAAGATTAACACTGCAACTGGGGCTCGTTAGTGGCATGTTCTGGGGATAAAAGGACGGATGGTGCCACGCCCTGGTTGCAGGAGTCAACATTCCTTGGTTCGTTCATTCATGCATTCAGTCATTCATCGGTCATGGTTTGGTTGTGATTTGCTTTCTGTAACCCTGATTCAAGGAGACACTTGGAGAAGTACATTGCGTTGTAAGAGTTTTGTTTTGTATTTTGTTATCTGGTCAGAGACTTTATTTATATTATTTTTGGGCTCGCAGCCAGTCTGAGCCAAGAACTGATAAAGTGAGTTCCTTTTACGTTTGTCTGCCTGTCGCTGTTAACGAGCGGAGAAGGGGGGACAGAACAGATATGAGTGGAGTAGGGGAGGAGAAAATCCCAGGAGAGTGCAGGGCATGTATAAGTTGAGGAAAAGCTTGGGAAGCTGGGTTCAGTTTGCATCTCAGTGAAGGAGAATATGTGCTTGGACAGCATGATAAGGGTGAAAGAAGGCTGAGTGTGTGGATAGCAGGGTGCATGTCTAAGATTGTGGAGTGGATGGCATATAGTGAGAGCATGCAAGGATATCACAGTGGGCATATAGAAAAGCCAGGGAATGAATAGTCTGGCATGAGCACAGGAAGGCTGGGGTATGGGCAGAGTGGTAGCATGTGAATGCAAAAAGGCTAAGGGTACTTAGCAGAATAACTTATTATCTTCCTCATTGACTTTTCTTGTAGGAAGCCTGTAGAGAAGGTTGTAAATGATAATCAAATATCCATGGACATTACAACCTTTGTAAGTGTGAGTCAGTAGCCAGAATCTAAATCACAGTCAGATGACTCCAGCGATACTGTGAGGGCCGCAACTTGCTCACAAATCTTGCTGTTGTGAGCCACCCATAGTTATTAAGTTAGGCAGCCATATAAATACATACACACTTGTGTGTGTGTATGTATGTATGTATGTATGTATGTATGTATGTATGTATGTATATAGATATAATAAACTGGTTATATTTATTTAGCCAAATAATTAATGCATAATTCCTTCTTGATTGATATAATAATGTTGTTTTCAAACGTTCTTTAAGTTCATACATGATGCCATTTTCTGCATTTATAAAAATTCCATGCCGGCACGCATCAACTTTGTAACTGATCAGCTTAATAAAGGGGTTCAAAGTAATGGCTGTTGGAATGCCCCCGTGGTTAGATGATTGCGATCTGGGCTCTTTGCAAGCAGCATTTTGCTCTTGAAGAGGCTTGCTGAAAAAGATCCCTCATGGAGGGACTTCTTCATTCAGCTTCACTGAGAGCAAAATAACTACCTGAAGAAGAGACTCCTTCTTTGGCAAGCAGTATTTTGTTCTCCAAGCGGCTGGGTAAACACTAGTTCTCCACATGGAAAGGAGGTGCCCTCTTTCAGCAGGTAGATCTCTCACTCATTTGCAGACTTCATTAAGGTCATAAGTTGAGAATTACCATATATCTGAGTCTTCCCTAAAGCATGAGTCATAATTTTGGTACTTGGCTTTTAGGCATATTCTAGTAGTCTGCTGCTTTTATACCTAGTGTCAATCCCAAAATGTGTTACTTTACATTGTACTGCAATGAAAAATAGTATTTTCCCCTGATGTTTTATTTTTATATTTTATAATAAGCAGTAATCTTTTTCTCAATTAATTTAAATAAAATATTTGTTGTACTATTTATTGTTAATGTTTATAGGTTGTACAAACAGATGAAGCAGTACGGAAACCTGATCCTATTCCTGTAAGCAGTGAGGATGAAAGAAATGCTCTTCTTCAATTGGAGAGTGCTATCTTGGCCAACAAAGCTACAAAAAGTTAGTATCCATTATTAGAAATATAGAAAATTGATTTTTAATCAGATTCATCCACTCAATATATGTATACATTAAAAACAGTTATATAAAATTTACATCAAGATACATCAAACAATTGATAAATATGTAGAAAAAAGGAAGAGCCACAATGGAAAGGAAAAGAGAATAAAAGATTTTCAGGAAAAGGGATTTTATATGAATGCCAGATCAGAGAGGATTTGACTTCAGATATGGCACACAATTTGGCTTCTTTCAATAATTTACTGGAGGGCAAACTCTCACTAAGAAACCTAGCACATCTTTAGTACTTGAAAGTTAATTATTAGTAGTAATATAACAGGTGAAAGACTTATGTTTTCCATAAAATTAGCATTTATTAGTAGTCAGATTAAGCTCTTTCAAGGTTTTTAAGGCACTCCAAATAGATTTGTTTTTATTGATTGATCAACTAATTTTATTGCTATATAGAATGCTTTAGCATATGTCTTTGTCCAAATATGGCTGCCTCAAGAATGAAGCACAGTGATGTGTTAAGAGACAGCTCGTACTGGCTCACAAGAGCTGATTCATAAAACTGTAGGAATTTTGCCAGCTGGTAGAAGGCTGAGCTCAGGTACTAGCATGCTAATAAATTGTATTGTGACTAATGGCTTGGTGTGATGGCACCAATGGAGCTAATGAAGCTGGTTCTTAAACATTTATCAGCACATACTACTGCATACAATTGTTGCAATCATAAAATCGGAATGACTCACTCTATAAGAAAATCAAAATAGAATAAAGGACTCTTTCAAATTGTAAGTCTGTTTTTCAACAGCTAAACAAGCTAAATTTTTATGACCATATCATGTTTTGTTAAATGCATATTTTTGCTTTTCCTAAGACTTTAGAATGCTAAGTTTTTAACTATTCTACATTAATGAAAAAGTGGTTCTGTATAGAACAATAGATAGGTTGCCTCTTGATATAAGTAGATCCTGCAATTTTATTTATAGAGTTCTTCTTTCTATAAGTACATTGTTTTTAAAATATGGTTAATTCCAATCTATTCCTTTTTGCTAAAAGATACCTTCATTTTATTAAATTTTCCTTATTCCAGAAGGAAGTTTCTGCAGCTGATTAATATTTCTAATAATTTCCCATTTTATGGCTTTTCAAATACTGTTAGTACAAACAACATTTTACTTAAGGAAAATTAAATAAATATTTAAAATAATTATGAAATAATAAAGAAATTTGGTTTCTGATTAGGTGATTTACAGATGAAGGAACTTAACTTTGAAAAAGATGATGACAGTAATGGCCACATAGACTTTATTACAGCAGCTTCCAATTTGCGCGCCAAAGTGTATAACATTGAACCTGCAGATAGATTGAAAACAAAACGTATAGCTGGAAAAATTATCCCTGCTATTGCAACTTCTACCGCAGCTGTATCTGGCTTGGTGAGTAAGATTGCATTTTTGTTCAAATACAAAAATACACAAGTTTATAGATGTATGTTGCACACATCCAATGTTATTTTAGTTGATGAAATATGTCAGTTGAAATATGTCAGTTTTCCCTGGTTTTATATTCCTTTCTTTTTCTTCTCTAGGTTGCTTTGGAATTGATCAAAGTAGTAGGTGTCTGCCCATTTCAAGCATATAAGAACTGTTTTTTCAACTTGGCCATTCCAATAATTGTCTTTTCAGAAACAGCTGCAGTTAGAAAAACAGAAATAAGGTAAAGATATTAAAACAGGATATATTTTAAATATACAGTTTTTCAATGAAATATCTGTATACATTAAGTATTATTATGCAACTGGAAAAAAGTTTATCAGCAAAGTTAATATTTTAGAACATTACCTGCTGCCAGACAGGAAACACAAAGAATATATAATAATATTTTGTTCTAATTTTTTTGGGGCGGGGGGGGGGGGGGGGAACGGGGAAAAACAGCATTTCCTAAAATGTCTCATTGAAATATTTCCACAAAGTTATGTTCTGATAGGGTAGAATTCTAAACATTCCATACATTCTGTATTTTATATGGAACAAAGCTCTAAGTGTTCATAGTGTTACACTACAGAGCACGATGAATATTTGGATTAAAAGAAATAGGTAACAATTCCAAGGTAGGAGGCATAAGGGGTGTCTTTGATAGACAATGAAAAGATCCATTACCAAACCAACTATCAGAGAAGTGTGGTTTAAGTCCATTCCAAGAAATTAATTTACAAAAATGCCTGAAACAGGCTCCTCCCTATTCGTGTGAAGTTATAGTGAGGGAGTTGTAATATTTTGTTACTATAATTGTTCTAATACCCTCTCCCCCTCCCTCCCTCCCTCCCTCCACCTAGCTACCTAGCCGCCCACCTACCTACCTACCTACCCACCTACCTACCTACCTATTTACCTACCTGCCATAGCAGCCCATCTAGTCAATGATTCGGAGGGCTAATTCAATATGACTTTGGCTTGGCAACCAGCTATCAACATTTAACAAATAAAACTATTTTTTTCCTTTGCTGTGCAACTTGAAAGCTCAGTTTGGCAATTTCTTATTCCCCAGCACTATTTTAGGGATTTACAAAAATGCTTTTTATTCTTATTTTGTAACAGAAATGGAATATCTTTCACAATCTGGGATAGATGGACTATTCATGGGAAAGATAATTTCACACTATTGGACTTCATAAATACTGTCAAAGTAAGGTTTTTTTAATAAAATATATGGTAGAAATAATTGAGAGTTCTGTTAATGTTCTGATAGATTTTATTAAAAGCTTTACTGCCTTTTAAGTTATTAGCTATCATCAGCTGAAGTTTTTGTTTTATAATATGTGTTTACTAAAGAAAGAAAGATTATATCAAATAGATAAAAATGATCACACTGAATTGCTTTCCCCCCCTTTGTTTCTGCTCCATTTTCTATGTGATACAGTTGAATTTTTTTTAATGTTTGTGTTACAGGAAAAATACGGAATTGAACCAATCATGGTTGTCCAGGGAGTCAAAATGTTGTATGTACCTGTAATGCCTGGCCACGTTAAACGACTAAAGCTGACGTAAGTTTTAACTGGGCATAACACAAAAATTAATGGGAACTTTGAGTTTCTACCAAAAACATCTGTTTTACTCTGGTTATGTTGACAGATTTCTTTTTTAAACAGATTGGTATGCTATTTTTTGTTGTTTGGGTTATTCTTCATAAATGTTAAGAGAAGTCGGCCTTCTTCTAGATCCAACATTGCTTAGCATCAAACATTAGATTTGATGTAGTCTGGTTTTCATTTCTTCTGGTTTTTTTTTTGTATTGTATATTTTATTTTCATTTTCATACACTCACATGTATACATCATACAGTATTAAACAATAATTGCATCAATTCCTCTTGTCAATAATGCCCCAGAAAATAAAAGCCCAATATACCTCTTCGATTCTCCATACACCTCTTTCTTCCACCACCCTCCAACTTTCTATCTTCCCTCCATCATCCCCCTCTACCCTACTTCCCCTCGCCCTCTACCACTCCTCTCTCCAAATCCGCTTCCCCCCTTCCTTTTCGCCTTCCCCCCACCCTCTCTCCCTTCCCTCTCTACCCATCTTTCTTCTTTCCTACTCCTCCTCCCCTCGGTATATTTCCACTATATATTTTTTTTAACATAAAAATTTTTAATTTTAATTTGAAACAAGTACAACATCTTTCTTTACA